GATCTCGGCACACTGTCACGTGTGGGTGCTGCAGCCGCCGCAGCGTTCTCCGCGCAACGCTAGCTCGAGGATACACGGTTGCAAATGGTGAGTCGGCGCGCGACAGTAGTATTACTACTTTCTTCTATCTCTCGCTACATCACTTCTCTTTTGTCCATTTGCACTTAATTAGCTGCAGCGTGCAACGTCGGTAGGGATGTGATCCGGGCGTGCAAGCCGGATTTTTTTGTTTTCATTTATCCCATTTTTAGTTTTTTTTTTCTAAAATTTGTGCTATCATGTGAGAAATAAACTAGCAAACAGAATTTTATAAGGTAGTGGGTTTGCTCACTTACATCCCTAAACGTCGGTTTCTTCTGCATGGTCACATACGTAATCGACGTTGAATACTTTCTGTTTATATATTTTTGGTGCTTTTGTTCTTTTCTCTCTGTTGTTGCAACTGGGACATCAGTTTTTGTTGTACATGGTTACCGAGGATAATTCTCGTGCCTATATCATTTCAAGATTCTTTCTTTTCCTATACTATTCACATGCCATCACTGCAACAGAAAAGAATATTCTAGAGATATTTTTCTAAGGGCATGTACAAAGGTAGAGTCAAGATATGAGCTCTACGTTATCTAGAGACTAGCATCCTACAACAGTTAGAGACAATATGATCTCTAATCATTAATGTATCAAAATATTTTTTCTTACTCTTCTTTCATTTCTTTCACTACCATGCAACAAAATTTGCTCTAATAAATACTAAGAGTCGACTTCGAGCTGTTGTCATGCATAACAACCATACTCCTTTCTCTTTCTTCCATGTCATCAAATTTACTTGCATAACAATAGAGAGAGACCACTAATAAAGACCGTTGTACATGCCCTAATACTACAAAGACACTTTCTAAATGAATTTGTAATACTATAATTTTTCAAAAATACCTAATAAGTGTCTTACGATGAATTATCTCTATAAATGAAGAGCCATTTCATAAAATGTCATTAATAGAGTAGAGGCATTAAATCGTACCACAACTATATCAAACCAATATGTGAAAAAAAAGAGGATTGACTATAGCGCTATAGTCAATCCTTGAACTCAAAACGTCTTGAGCAAATCATTTTTATCTTTAATGCACTAACCAACTCAACTTAATATCATCACTAATATGTTTATGTCTCGTGTTACTTATACTTAATTTAACAAAATATACTGAAAATGTCTGTAAAATTGTGTCTACAGCAAAAATTTTCTAGGCAACTTTTAAAGTGTCTCTAAAAACTGTCTCTACACTATAAAATTTCTGATTTTAGGGCAATTTAAAAATGTCTCTACATGATGTTTTTGGTGTAGTGTGCAGAACTGAATCAACATATATCTGTGTACATATGATGGCTCGGAGGTTAAAAATACTACTACCTCCATTTCAGGTTATAAGATTTTCTAGCATTGCCCACATTCATATAGATGTTAATGAATCTAGGCACACATATATGTCTAGATTCATTAGCATATATATGAATATAGGCAATGCTAGAAAGTCTTATAATATGAAACGGAGGAAGTATTATGTATAATAATTATGATGTAAAAAATTCAGATAAACTAATTTTTATATTCTAACTACTTAAGGGAAAGAAATGTTTATTAGTAGTAACGAGTATATATCCTTCCATATGTGCTACCTACTTCCACAGCCCTATCCGTTAATTAACACGCTCTATACACGGCTAGCGCTAACGACTAAATATCAATATAATCTTTAGTCCCAATTAGTATTACCAACCGAGACTAAAATTTAATGCGTAGTATATAATCCCTCTTCCTTATCCTCTCCTCCACAATCGCAACAACATCCTCACAAGTACAGATCCCTTCCCCTTCCTCACACTTATCCTCTTCCCTTCACCTTCCTCAAACTTATACTCTCCTCCTCCCCCTCCTCCCCTTCCTCCTCCCCTCTCCTCCCCCTCCTCCCTTCCCATCCGGCCGGCGGCCGCGGCGGCGGTGGCCGTGGCGGGTGGCGGCGGCGGGCAGGCGGGCAGGCGGCCGGAGGTCCCGCGCGTGGCGGCGGCCGTGCCCTCTCGTCTGCTGGTCGACGTCTTTTTTTTTTTAAAAAAATGTGATTGATTTAGATGTATGTTAGTGATATGCCCTAGAGGCAATCATAGATATGATTGTATCACATACTATGTTTACATATTTATCCGACGACTTTGTTCCTTGAAATAGATAAACTCATTATTGGTTAATGAATATGTGATTCTTTCATGAGACTCTTTATGTTATGTGTTGCTATTTCTAAAGGATCCCTGATCAAATATCATATGTGGAACAAATATGTTTAGATGATCAGCACATGTATTAATTGATGATCATGTCTCATGGATCATGGTATAGAGATACCAAATAAATAATGTGGACACATGTTAGTCAACATGTTGTTGGATAGACCCAACATGAAACACTGCAAGAGCCATATGTGTTGTGTCATCAGTGATCTTATTTAGTGTTGGTGTTGAATCCTTAGACCTGAGATCATCATGGTTCCCAACATGTGTAGTAGGTTACTTAGGGACTGCTAAACGCTACTCCGTAATTGGGTAGTTATAAAAGTAGTTTTCGGGTATACTATGAAACATGTAGTGGGATATGAATAATCAAGATGGGATTTGCCCCTCCTATGGAGAGATATCTCTGGGCCCCTCGATGTTGTAGATTATGGAAGTGCATGGTCATGCCAAAGGTGATTGAGGAGTCAATCATAAGTTATATAATCTATCAACAGGTTCGAGTGAATGATTGAGCTATTAGAGGATGTCACATATCTAGCCTTGAGCTTAATCGATATCGTGAGGCAAAGGGGTTCATACAAGTATACACTAGAGGTTCAGCCGATATGATCTTTATGTATGCCCGGTGGGTCAATACGTTCTGCTAGGAGCCGCTGTTGACGCGTGGACCGAAAAAGAGTTTTCGGGTTACAGCCGAGTATACATGAACCTACAGGGTCGCACGCTTAATGGGCCGGAATAAGGGGATTGGATGGAGATCCAATATGAGCTTACTTCGGATAGGGATCCGAATAGGAGTCCTACGGGCCTTGGAGGCCCGAGTGATGGATCCTATATATTCGTGAGGGGTGTGACCGGCGGAGGCATTGCATCACGTGAGAAACCCTAGACGTCACTTCCCTCCCCGAGCAAAACCCTAGCCGCGCGGGTGCTAGCACATCTGCGCGTGGCGTTCCGTCCCTGTACGTGTGGCCACTGGTAGAGGCGCCGCTGGTTTGCGGTGCTGATCGGCGTTGGAGTACAGCGAGGAGAACACACGAAGAGGAGAAGGTCGAGCCGGTGCGATCGACTACTTCCTCTACATCGACATGCGCTACTTCGCGAGAGTTCCTTCGACTTCTCAGCGTCTTCTTTCGCTGCGCAGCGCGTCGAGTGGTAACGATCTATGATCTAATACTTGCATGGTTCCTGGTTTACGCGATAGAAAATTTTGATTTATGCTATCGTAGCCTACGCGTATCCCAACAATGTACTCCCTCTGTTTTTTAATAGATGACGCCGTTGACTTTTTCTCATATGTTTGACCATTCGTCTTGTTCAAAAAATTTTGTTATGAGTTGTTTTATCACTCATAGTACTTTAAGTGTGATTTATATCTTATACATTTGCATAAAATTTTTGAATAAGACGAATGGTCAAACATGTGAGAAAAAGTCAACAGCGTCATCTATTAAAAAACGGAGGTAGTATAATTTTGTGACTGATCTAAGATGAATCTGTGATGTATTTGATTTCGGTGTATTTTTTAGGATTTGTGATGTATTTGATTTGCTTGTATTTTTTTAGGATTTGTGATGTATTTGATTTGTGTGTATAAGTAACTTAAGATTTGGGATGTTACTTTGAATTGGGGATTTGGGGATATACATGGCACTAGATTCGGGAGAAAATATAGGGATTAACTCTAGCAAAAGAAACAATAAAAAAAGGACCATCTGCAGTGCCGCTACCCTCTCTTTAGTCCACCAACCGGGACTAAAGATCACTCTCTTTAGTCCTGGTTGGTAACACCAACCGGGACTAAAGATCTATCTTTAGTCCTGGGTATTTGAACCGGGACTAAAGATAACGATCTTTAGTCCCGGATTCGTACTCCCTGTTGGAAAACCGGGACTATAGAGAGGTTACCAACCGGGAGTAAAAAGACTTTCTCCACCAGTGCTATGATAGATGGCCGCGCTTGCGGTGACAGCATCAAGACCGTAGAGACGCTCGAGTGTCACTATATTTGTACATGTATATCATGCATATATGGGCTGCACACAAGCCAGCATGCATATATAGAACAGTCCAAGTCATTCAAAGATAAGGACCTTCCAAGCATGCAAGCATATATAGATCAGTCTCTCAGAGGCAACACAAAAAACAGTTCAAGAGATCAGCAAACGTCTCTATACGGAAGAGATAGAGATCAGAGAAAATGGATGCCTATTTTATTTTATTTCCCTTAAAGTATAGTACAATGAGTAATTTTGTTTAGGTACAGCGTAGTACAATTTACCATTGGCACAGGGAATGATTTTAACCTTACAATTCAGAAAAGGAGCAAGCATGCACAATTAACTATAAGTGCATACAGAACTGATCAGAAAGGTTTTGTTTTTTTCCAACTTTTGAGCAGGAAATTAAGGGCTAAAATGCACGGAATGACATATTCCCCTGCTCACACACCGTAACAACAGGTTTCACCCAACTTTGATCGTCAAAGGGCAACGTCAGTTTCTCCCCCAAAAATAATGAAGGAAAAAACAATTGACACTACACGTCATTCCTTGTGCCTATCTCTCCACACCCCCCCTCTCCCTTATCTTGGCCGTCCTACAAATACAGGTTCTTCCGTTCAAGTTGTAATAACCTCAATTCATCTGTGAACAAGCTAAGTTAGAGTACGTAGTAGCAGTGGGTGTAGTTGTTGTACATCAATCTCTTTGGCCATGGAGGATATGCTCTCCTTCTTCTCTAGTGGCCTTCATGTCATGCTCGTCGATGATGACACGAAGAACACGAGAACTGCAACCAAAACGCTTTCTATGCTGCACTGCCCAGGTACATTTGATTTTCTAGCTTGTTTGGATGATTTGTGCTGGTCTCCGTGCACTACAGATCCGATATTTCGTTTGTGTGATTCTTTTTTCTTGTCGGATTCTTGTGTTGTGTAATCCGTGGATTCTTGTGGGGATTCTTGAGAAAATATTGGTGTTTGTTATATGTGTTTTCTATGGGAGTTGTTTACAAGATGAACTTTTTGTTCACTCATCATCTCTTTGATATATCTTGCTTATAGTAAATGTTTTGATCCTGGGCGGGTATAAAGAGGCAGTGAGTAAACTCATCTTTGGCCACTTCCTAATAAAATCGACCAACCTGTTTGATGTTCTTGCTGTGTTGATTCTGCGTATGGTTTTGTTCAAAATAACTACTTGAAACACTGATCTTATAGCCTTTTTCCATGGATGCATGTTCTTCCTTGTTTCAACTGAAATTCAAATTAGTAGGTTGCGCGCGCTTGCTTTGCGCCAAATTAAATATTCTTTTAAGAAAACTTGTTCTATGAAGGATTTTTTATACTGTAGTGCAATTGCAATTATACTTCACTCATCTCTCAGTTATATATAGACACTCCAATTGTCTAATTGAGATCTCTCCCCCTCCCCTTCTTAAAAAAATCCCTCTTTTGGGATGCATGTCTCCCTAACTTTTGTGTTACAAACTTGCAGTCATAAAAAATTCTAAAAACATGTAACAGTGTATATAATATATTGTTATTGTTATATATAATAATGTATGATTTTACTTAAAGTCATTTAGATCTTATATAATAAGTAGTAACATCAAACTGCTTACATAAATACTCGGTAATTTAAAACCGTAAAACTGACTTCTTCCACATAAGACAAAACAAAACAAAACTCTTAACTGCATTTACTCCTTATCTTTTCTAGTGGTGTCAACGCACACCACTGCATGTGCTGGCCTGCGCACCCTCTCCGGCGACAACATGTTAGACGTCCAGACTGTCCTCTGCGACGTCAGCAAGGTGGTCTCGTCCGGCTTCGACTTCCGCCGTGTCAACGAGACCGAACACCAAATCCCCGTCATCTACCGTAAGCTAGCTAGCTAAACTTGTGCTAAGATGCTACTCATTGTCGTCGCGCCTATCAATCAATCCACGTCATCCACACATGCGTGTCATGCAGTATTATCGACGACGGAGCCAGAGCAGATGGTCGCCGGCGAGGACGCGGAGTTCCTGAACCACCTGCTGCTAAAGGCGACCTACATCCTCAGGAAGCCGCTCGACTGGGCCACGATAGCCTAATTGTGGAGAGTGGTCGCATGGCACAGGTGCTGCCTAGAAGAAAGGGTTCCTGGTGACTCCATGGACGACATAGCTGCCCATGCCGGCGCTGGTGGTGAAGACGGCAATGACGACGACGTCGTCGTCATCGAGGAGCCACAAGTGCACTTCAAGTTGGTGAGGTCCCGTGGCAGCCGGAAGAGACAGCTGACCATCAATGTCGATAGTGGCAGCAGCGACAGCGCAGGTTCTTCTGAACATAAAAACACCGTGTTATATTGACATCGCATGCACCCCAAGCAAAACTCGGTGCAGCACGTTAGCATTATTACTTGCATGCATACTATATAAACCCTATCTTATTTTGCCTCGTATGAAATTAGCCGTTACCAAAATTTAAAATTTAAATTTTAATTTTAAAATTTTTTGAACGAAATTTATTTTTAATATTAGCTTTTAAATATGCCGTATGGCTTATTATCAGCATACGGTCCACCGATATCGACCTTAGCGGTAGGAGCTAGCAAAGGATGCAATATTTTTTAAGTACTTTCAACTTTGAATCACTACTTTATTACCTGAAATACTTGCAAAAAATATGAGAATAAGATAGTAAATAGATTATGAACTATCATTGTACAGAGTTTCAAATCATTGTGTTGTGCTAAACTTTGCTTCAGATCCTAGAAGTTCTTCTCCTACTTATTTGGTTATTTCCTTTGGTATCAACAGATGCCAACCAAAGAAAGAAGATAGAGCACATGAACGACGCGAAAGGGCCGGTGGGGCAGCATGTTGCTAGCCACTTGCAGGTCATTTGACTGTGCTAGCTGTTTTCACTACCTTAATTTGATTTCAAAAGCACCAATTTTAATTTGTAGTAACTGCACTTATTTGGATGTTTCCTCTTTATTATTCTTCCATGCATATACTCCATAATGGAGTAATATTTCTACCAACCTTGGATGCTTATCTCTCTGTGACACGATGCTATCTTTAAGCTATAACATGCATGGAATTCAATACTCGTGATGTGTCATGCTACATTTCAAAATACATATACTCCCTTGGCTTTGAATAGTTCTGAGTGTTGGTTAGTCCTATTTTAATTTTGATCACTAACAACTTTTAAATTAAGTATCGTATTTTGATGAACCAAACATATATTTTGATAACACATGGTGTAATTGTAGCTAGCTAGTAATAAATCTGTTGGTAAAACACTAGTGAAATTAAGTTTAGAATGAATAGTATCGAGTGACAAATCTTTTAAAGAAGCTATTCCTTTTATTTTGGATTGGGAATGTATTATTTCCAAAAGTGTATGCTCTTTATTAATCATGATACACCCATAATTTTTTCCCTCACATAGTAACTATATAAAAAGAGAAAACAAATTGGGAGAAATTTAATTTTATGATCCTTTTGGGAGATACAAAATACTCTAATGTAAGTTCCGTACTGACATGTTTCAAATTTTATTCTAAAAAGAATATAAGTGCCTTTCGATAGACTGTAAAGTTACTCAGAATTTGATGTGTTTATTTTTCTCTGGATAATTTTATTACATACTCTCTCCGTCCAAAATAAACCAACCTCGTGCATATCCTATTACGATGAATCTGAACATCATATTAGGATGTGTCACATCCTGTACGAGGTTGATTTATTTTGGTACGGAGTGAGTACATCATTATGTATATATTTGTGCCAAAATTAACATGCCTAAATTTCCAGCTGCCAGCGCAGGAATACTGCACAAAGCAACAGAAGGACCTTGATGAGCGCCGCCTCATCTCATCGGACTCCTTGTTCCTCAAAGCCATCTTTCCGACGCTCAATGTCTCGCCGAGCAGCCCTCTGATCCTCGCCGGCGGCGCCGGTCCAAGCTGCATCCCCACAACGACCATCGCTGGCAGCAGAACTGCAGCACCATTTCAAGTTCCGGTTTTCCAGCAGCAACCCTCCGGCACTACGGTGATCTCCTTCAGCAACACTGCCGTGCAGGCACCCATCGGCAATGCTTTTATCTCCTTCAACAACGCTGCTTCGCCGGCGGCCACCGGCAATACAGTTATCTCCTTCAACAACATTGCTGCACCAGCAGCCATGCAGGTTCCGGCGATGCGACAGCGACTGTCCGGCGGTGTCCAGCCAGATGCTCCCCAGCAGAGGCTGTACATGGGGCCCTTCTCCTACCAAGGCCCTCCGCCACCACCTACCATGCGTAATCACATCAACATAGTCCCGACGGCCTTCATACCTCGGGTCGGGATGACCGTGAATATAGGAAAGGCTCCTATGATCGAACTTCCATTTGGAGTACCTGTGGATGACTTCCTCGTCGGAGAAACCGCATATGGCGGTGCCGGACCATCCATAGGAGCCCCTAGCAACGACGCCGCTGTCGCGTACGCCTACACAGGTGCACTGAACAACAACACAGCTGTTGGTTCTCTCATGGCGCCACCAATTGATGAGCCAACATTCACCCTCACCGATCCAATCGTTGGGACCAAGGGTGAAGGAGTTGTCCACATTGTCATCACGTCAGAGGATCAGAATGCGTTGGCAGCAGTCGAAGCAGGAGCGCCTAACAACGCCGAGCCATTCATGATGCCTGATCAGGTTGATCTTGAAGAAGACATCATGTTCTCTCTGGAATCCCTCCTGGGGTTGGACGAGGACATGATACCTATGGAAGACGCTGGCGGTGAGGCAGCTGAAGGGTCACTGAACATAGGGGAAGGTGGCATGGAGATCGGGTGGGACCTGGACCTGGATGACATCCTCATGAACAACACCAACGAATTTGCCTTCCTGGACGACCTGGCCTGGATCGAGTAGTCTGTGATCATTGTATGGCAAATAAATTAATTAGCTCTAGTTAAGCTAATTAGAGAAAGGGGTTGTGAACTCCCCATGATAAACCAGCTTTTAATCTTGTTGCAAGTACTCTTTACATGGATGATTCTTTCCCTTCATTCTCATGGAAGAAATGTTTACCTTATTACTGTATTTCCTTTGCCAATTAAATTCCATGTATGTTGCAGATACTGGTAGTATTATACTACCAATATTATCAAGGATAAATTAGTAATTTACTAATAGAATAATTAGGAGTTACTTTACCATTTATGTTTTTCTCTGCTAAATCAATATATGATCATCCATTGCGCTGGCATCGCTCATATTTCATCGAAAAAAGCCAAAGAAAAAGGAGAAAAAAAAGGTTTTGTCATTACTAAATGACGATTATACCCTTCGCACCTATTTTTTCTGACAATAATGCCCCTCCACGTTTTTACTACCGCTATCTAGGGTGGTAATATAAATAGATCTGAACTATTCGATCAAATGAAATCAACAGTTCAGATTGATTTCTAATACCAATAGAGAGCACCATAGTGAGGCACCTTTACCAAACGTTACTGGAATACTACTTTAAACTATTTTGTGTCATTCATCCGCGCCGTCGTCATAGCTGGCTAAGTATCTCACATGGCGGCATGCCCCACGACGATCGAAGATGGCTGTTCACTTGTTTGGTGACTTGCACAAGAAAACCTATAAGCTCTCTATCTCTTGCTTCCTGATATTTGTTGACGCTTTTTTGTCATGCCAATGCCACCGAATATGATTCGGAGTCTACCTAAAGCTTTGCGTTGATATTGAGTTGCCAACCACCTTGACCTTGAGAAAACCCTGATCAAGTTAGGTTTAGCGTTGCCAATTTAGATAAATAGGGAAAAACATCCGTCTCATGAAAAACAGGTAGGTTTTGGGACAAACCTACAACGAGAATTCACACTCTCACAGCGAGGACGGATGGTTTACAGTGCAAACCGATGAAGATGAAGAACTAGGCAAAAAGTATATGCGATATTGAAAAAAATGATTCAATTGATTGATTGCGTTGGAACTAGATTGGTGCCTTAATTGAATCAACCATGGTCATTATAAAGGGGTTGGTCTTGCCTCCTACAGGACCCCCTCCACGTTCTGCTCAGGGTAGACACCGATTAGAACTCGAAAAACCTCAGCCCAAGCAAGGAAACCCAAGATTCGATAAAATTGGACTCGAAGCCGAACTCAGCCGGTCTAACTAGCCACATGCCAATGGTCATACCGGCCCCACACCACCGGTCTGATTGGCTCTGTGGCAATAGTCAGACCGGCCCTATGAAGGAAATCTAGTTCTTTCCAAATTCGGCCATATTTTCCTATTTTCGCTTTAGGTGCTAAATTTGGGTGTTAACACGTGTCCCCTCCCCCATGCTTTTTTGGCTATTTTGAGAGCCGAAAAGCTTGAAACATGGGTCTAAGGGTGATAATTCAATTACTGGCCATATCACCTCCTAAGCATCTTGCCAAACACTCGGTAAGTTTTTCTTTCAAATATTTCCCATTTATTGTTGTCTGAAATTGTTCCCCTTGCAAAGTTTCAAGAAGAGTAAATTACATTAGCGGTACATAAACTTGTCAGGTGCATGCAATTTAGTGTATAAACTTATAAAATATTCGTTTTGGTGTATGAACTTGTCTGATATGTGTAAACTAAGACTAAAATGGCACGACAAGACCGATTTTTCTATGTTGAACGTTATATATTATAAATTAGTAGATGACTTGCGTGTACATAGTAGAAAGGTTATATTTGTAAACGTTTATTTCTGTCCCTTGCATCATTACTCGGATTTTTATTTTTTTTGTGCAATCATTATGCCTTATTATATGTTTATCCTTCTTAGACTAATGTTTACATAGAGTTTAAATCAACAACAGAATCAGCAAGATTAACTTTGCAGTGCGATTTTGACCTTGTTCCCACGCACCAAACAAGTCCGTGCACTAAAACGAGCATTTTACAAGTTCATGTACTAGATTGCACACCCACCTGACAAGTTCGTGTACAGCCGATGCAATTTACTCTTTCAAGAAATTAAAGTATGTATTTCTTCAAACAATTCCATATATCTGGTAAGGATCCTCCCAATAAGGTAACCACTTACCGAATTCTCTAGATATAGAACCTTAAGGCAAAATCGTCTTCCAAACTAAGTCTCCAACTTAAAATGATTTTACTTTCGCTCTCTTATTGTTGGCTTTGGCTATCTTCTGCTTATTCTTCTCTATCTTCCAAAGCCTTTAATCGTTTATCGGTCACATCATCAGGATTACCTCCAATTAATGTATTATATTCTTTGACCAATTAATCACCATGCTTGATGTATCTAAGAGAGCCAAGATTCACCTCAACCAGTAAAAATGGCTTCTTGTACATAGACTAACTCAAAAGTAATAACTTTTGTTGCATCATGTTTAGATATCATATGAGCCCATAATGCTTCGAGAGCATCTCATGCCGTATTTTTGTGTGTTCGTCAATCTTTTTCCTTAACTAATTTTAATAAAACCTTATTACTCGACTCGGCATGTCCATTAACATGAACATAGTAAGGAGAACTCAACAATTTCATACCATAAGATTCAGCAAAGTCTTTCACCTCTTTGACATAAAAGAAAAGCATTGATCCGTATTCAAAGTTAGAGGAATACTGAATCTAAGAATAATGTGCTTCAAGATAAAATCTATACATATAGTCTTCTACAACTTTGGCTATAAAACATAGGATTTTCTGAAATTTATTAATTTACTCAATTTATATTCATAGTTTATGGGTTCACATATTGCTCTCACACTTGATACTCTGAATGCACATAATTGTTTTGTCACAAATGAGTAATTTGCAGGCTTGAATAAGTTTACATAGGTATAATAAGGTGAGAAACAATCCATCCATAGATATTAGGGATGTTAGGATGCTCCATTTATCAACAAATAAAATGAATGTTGGAATACAATTTTCCAAGTCCATTCAATGCATTTATTTCTCACTAGTGTTAGGCTTCTTTATTAATTCCGGTTAACCAATGGTGACGACCGAATTAATCTCGGTTAGTGAAAAAGGCTGACAAATATTTTTAACAAAATAAATTGGTTTAATGCTTGGTTAATTTGGTTCGGTTTTCCAGTCTCAGTCATGTTTCCTCTTTCAAATCATGGTATATATGTAGACATTTTTTCTCCATATCGGTTTGCTATGAGTGGGAACATGGGATGTTTCGGTTGATTGGTATTGCTTATCAAGACATCAGCACATACTCAGGCTAGTTTTAAGTTCATAGCCATTTTCTATTACATCAAAGAAGCACATGCATACATACTACTACGCACGTATACTACACGCACACGAGAGTGAGTGCAACTCCTAAGTCCTGACCCAAGCTTAATGAGATGGAGGCCAGTGGCAAATATGTTCTTACCTCATAGAACTCATATTGAAAGCACACTCACATGTACACAATATTCGCAGTAATCAGGATTGAGTTCATAGTCATTTATAAACATTTCCATGTTTAGGGGTACGGTTGTGTGTGCGCGTGTGATGGGGGGTAGGGTGTGTGTCCAGGGGTATTGGGGTGGGCGAGCAGGCTAGTATAGTGGGGGATATGTGAAGGACACATTATCTTGGTTTTATGTAAAAAAAAGAACATTTTCTTTCTAATATGTAAAGATCATTTGTGTCCGTTGAAACAATCGTATATTTGTTTTTACCTCCGCCACTATACATATGGCCATTGATCCTATCATGGCAAGTGGATAATGCAGTCAAACAAAGAACCTTGAAAGACAACTGTTGTTAGAATGTGTCCCCATTTGTGTTACTCATATCCCAACAATCATCTTTGACTCTTACACTAGTTATGATTCAGTGGACATCCAATCAGGTATTAATGTCACAATCCTTCACCCTATTTCCTATTACTAAATACGATATGTCATTAGTCACAATGCCTTCTACCCATCAATCTAACGTCGATTACTCGCTATGTCAATAATTATAAGGGATTATTCTATGTTGTTTAGCAGAGTTTAAGGTCCACACTTGCTTCCTCACCGCCGCAGAGGTCCTTTGTCGCCAAGCCCCATGCTTGCCAAGCTGAGTGTTGTCAATCCTTCGCCGCATCTTGCCATCTTTAATCACTCATTGACTTGGATCACAATATGTATGTGGTTTCTCCAACAATAAAGTCATTCATAGGCTGCCCCAAAGGGAGCTTGATCATAGAAGCATTGCCTTTCTCTTCATAGCTAACCTAACTTGCGGAAGGAAGACTATCGGGAGCATGTTGATGTGGTTGTGCATGGCATGTGGCAAAAGGCCTTGGTAGAAGAAGGGCCCGAGATAGAGCTTCTATTGGGGAGCATCCAGCTGGACACCACCGAAGAGTTGTTGCCCCATCACTAGAGCCAGCATGGTCACCGATGCAGCAATGTTGTTGAAAGACATCATTATATTGTCGACGGGCGCCTGCACGGCCATCAGTGTTGTATGCGGTTTCTCCGACAAGGAATTCATCCACGGGCTACACAAATGGGAGCTCGATCATAGGAGCATAGTATTGCCTTTCTCCATGGCTATCCTGACCTGCAGCGACCATCAAGAGCATGGTGATGTGGTTACGCATAGTAGGTGGCAGAGGGACTTGGTAGGAGAAGGGTCTGAGATACCACTTGGAAGCATCCAGCTAGACACCACCGGAGAGTTGCTGCCCCATCGCCAGAGCCTGCGCTGCCACTGGCAGCAACATCATTGAAGGACATCACCGTGATACCGATGGGCACCTGCAAGGCACAACATTTCTTTAAACGCATTAGACCATTAATCATTTGGTCAGAATCAGCCAAAACCCACATAAGGGACTAGATGCACTTTTAGCCCCTGTGAGTTTTCTTGATTGGGAATGATCACACATATTTCGAGCAACTAACAACAGGGTAG